GATTCGTAGTTCAGGAGCTGCCAACCTTGTACACATTTACGATATGCGACTATAGAAAGAGATTTAACTGTAAATAAGTATATTCATTATTTATATGCATTCATTGTCAACATAATTCTCTGTTAAATATTATTTCTTGTTTTTCTATTTATAAAATAAATGTACATACTTTATTATCAATAGAGTTCTCGATTAAATTATGTACTTAATTATTTGACGGTAATTTATTGTTGGTTTATAAATATTTTATCAAACTTATTCGTCATAAAATTTTCTGTTTATTCACTTTATATTATCAAACTTTTTCGTCATAGAATTTTCTGTTTATTCACTTTATATTATCAGGGCGTGAGTAGTAGTCTATTTATAAAATAATGTACGCATTTTATCGTCAATAAAATTCTCTATTAATATTGCTTACAATATATAGTTTATTTATAAAATAATGCCATTTAATTCTCTATTAAATATTATATCTCTATTTTTTCACTTTATTATCAGTGCGTAAGTATAGTTCATTTATAAAATCACGTACACGTAGAGATGCACTTGGTATTAATTGTTACATGGCTAATGATATGAATATCACAACGGATGTCATGTCAGTGCTGATTAACACCTCGCACTGATAAGTGCGTGATAGCACACAATCCATCACTAATAGAATTCTTTATTAAGTATTACTTTCTCTATTCTTATTAAATTAATAGACAGTAATTATAGTTTTTTCATTCACATTTTATCGATATTAGAAATCTCTGTTGAATATTACCGTACAGCGTGGACTAAAATACCCAGGGTACTTTACAATTTAAGCTGTATATATGGGTATTATAGTCGGAGGGATACTATGGTCAGCATAGGGGGTATAAATTACACTATATAGGTGCTGCAGTAATATTTTATATACTAAGTGAAATTAATCCATCATTCACAAGTGCAATTAATCCGTCCTTAGTACCCGGGGTACTTTACATTCTAGGCCTTCGAAAATCGTGAGGGGTATTATAAAAAGGGGGTCTTTTAGTCCACGCTGTACGGTACTTCTCTGTCTTTTCGCTTTAAAGTATTAGTATGTAAGTATATAGTTTATTCATAAAATAATCTATACACTTTATCATCAATAGGATTTTTTATTAAATATTACTTCTCTGCTTTTTATTACATGTTAAATTATCAGGATGTATTATATAGTTTATTCATAAAATAATATACATATTTTATCATCAAAAGATTTTTTATTAAATATCATTGCTATATTCTTTCATTTATAAATTTGCAGTCCGTAAGCATTTAAAAAAAGTTCATGATATTTATATCAGATATTTAGTTTTATTTATTTATATTAATTTAGATGAGTACACAGCACATTTATTAATCTATGCATATAAAATAGCTATTCAAGTTCATTAATATATACAGTCAATTTTTTCTATAACCAACAGGTGGTTTTGGATGTAAAAAAGTTCATTGTATAAATTGCCTAAAAAATCATAATTTTTTATATCAAATTGTTATAAATTTAAAATTTTTTGTTTATTGTATTATTTTTAAAAAAATCCGAATATGAATCAAGATTAAGTTCACAGTTTTAAGCCTGAAAGTTAATAGCAGAAAAATTAAGTTAAGAGGTTAAAGCATGCTGCATCTGAAGAATGAGATTTTTGATCTGCTGCATCAAAAAAGTTATGAGTTATTTTGAAGTCAACTTGATTTTTAAACTGATTATCTTGAATAATAAAAATAGGTTTTGTGGATTAAGTTGGTTATTATTATCTTCATTAGGGTCAATTTAAGAGAAGGACATTGAAATAATTATTGTTCTAAGCCATATCATCAGTAGAAATTTCTCAAAAGGTTTTATTATATATTAGTGTACATGTTTTTGAAAGTATCAAAGATGAATCTTAGATTGTTGATAAATTATCAAGAATTTGTTTAGAAGTAATGAAAAATTATCAGATTGCTCACTATATTGAAACTTAAAAATAAAAGAGTTTAATAATTTATTAGGTATGTTCTTCAGTTTAAAGTTATTGAATTTTTCAAATAATTAAACAGTATGTTATAAAAATAAAATAGTTAATTAAAAAAATGTTGAACAAAGTTTAAAAATTATAGAATTAGAGAAAGAGATATGAGAAAGGATAATAAATAAATAAGAATTGTTACAGCAGTATTGAATTAAGTAATTAATCACTTGAAAGATTTTTCCAAATAGATAATAATAATGATCACGTTTCTTAATATTTCTAGAATGTTTTTAAAATTGTTCATATAATTTTGAAATCTAAAAAATGGAATTCTACATAATTAGCATCAAATGTTACTATTGAATTTGAAAGAGCGTCAGTAATAAGTGCTAGTTTTTTAACTTAGCAATAATAAACTAAATGAAAAGAATATTTAGATTATAAGGTTTATATGTAAAAAGAGAATAATAATGCAATAAAAGTGATGAAAATAATGACATTCAGATAATGTAAATTAATTAAGTACACATGTTGTATATAAAGTAATATTTAATTGAATTTAATAAAGAGATAATTTGTAAAGATGCAATTAATAATGCAAGCAAAATAAAAAAGATTTTAAGATTGATAATAATTGAAGTCATTACAGAATTTGCAGAATTTGTTATAGCCATAATAATTATACAACACTTAAATGAATTTATTAATAAGATCATAAAGTTGAATCTACGATAATATAATAATACAATAAATAAAGAATTTTAATAAATGTATAAGAACAGTTTTATAAGTATATATAAAATCAAAGTCTAAAAAATCTTTATTTTAGTCAAATTTAAGTCCTTAAATACACATTCATTGTATATAAATAACTACATTACACTATTGATAGAACAACATTCTTCTGCCTGTTCATAAAATCCAACTCATTCTTTCATATTATGTTCTAATATAGGACCTCTTCTGTCTATTAAACTCATCCTATCTTCCTTTAAAACTTTCTTCCCATGTTTTCACTTGCTCCAAAATGCTTATTATGAATGGAACATCACCATTATTCTTTAATGTAATGACATACACAACTTATAAGACCAACTGATATTTGTAATAGTTGAATGCCTCATGTTCCATTCACTTTTAAAAGGACAATATTAGACTGTGGTTGAAAGAAAACAATTAATAGAGTTATGTGTTATAACATTGATGACTCAAATCATATCTTAGCTGTTTTCACCTGACATGTTCTTGGTAAGTAAAAAATAATAGCTAATTATAGTAATAAGAAATGTTGGGTATAATAGTATTAAATTAGAAAAGTATACGTAAGAAGCAAATATGGTAATAATAAAATATATATCGATACTATAAAAATAGAAATAGGTAAGCAAAAAAAAAAGAAAATGTTCCAGTTGTACAATTTGTTGAATTCAAAACACAGGACCGTCATCATGGCGCAGAAAAATCGTCAAGTAACGATTGTAATAGCGGTTTGTGGTTTTATGCCAATAATTACAGCAAGCGTCGTATGAAAATCAGCGTTAACTATTTTTACATATACTATATGAGTGCTGTCAGGGCAAAGGGCACCTTGGTTTTTTAAGTATATTATTAATTATTAGTTTTATTCAGCTCTTCTGATCCGACGCACATCGGGATTTCAAAACCCGAGGTGCCCTTTTCCCTCTGCGAAAAATAAATATAACTATTTTTTTGCAAACTTTTGCAAATAAAAATTCTATTTCCGCAATTTGTTTGGATCTTGATTAAATTTTAGGTCAATTCTGTGTAATTATCCGTAATAAAATCGAATTTTTGCAAAAACAAATGAATTCAAAAGTTTTTGCAAATTCTGCGATATTCTGCATTTTGCAGAAAATCATCGTTCCTGCCTTGGCAGCACTCACATGATACACGCTGTTAGCATTTCATTATCGAAATGAAATTTTGGAGCAATTCACAAAGGAAAGATTCACGATCACACCGATCAACCAAATACAAGAGTTTGTGTACGCACATGGCTGCAAACCCTACTCGCTTCTGGTATAGGGGTCACACAATTTGCAATAAGTCATTTTAAATTGTGTTTTCGAAACTTGGGTTAATAAATTTGTAACAGCGGCTACTGTAATCGCATAACAGATAAGATTTGATGCAACGTGAAATAAAACAAAATCTTTTTTTTTTAAAAAAACGGCAATAACTCAAAATTTTGACTATGAAACCATCTTTTATGTTCTAGCAAAAAAATTCCTTGCTAAATTTTAGCATAATTTGTTTCTCAAACCCAAGCCTCACCCTAACCCTAACCGCGAAATTTATTTTTAAAAAAATTGTCACATTACACCGGATCTTAGTTACGGTTACAATTAATTCTATTTCATTATACAATTACTGTAGTGTATATACAAATAATTTTGAAATTTCTATTCCATAATTAAAGCATTGAATTTAAAAGTATTACACTATAATTTAGGCTAACATTTAAATAATTTTAGCCTCACAAAAGCAAATAACGTAAATCTCTGAATTTCAAACCAAATATTCGGATTACAAATATTAATAACGATAATATTATATAAATATTTAAGTTTCGAATATTAATTAATATATAAAAAATTTTATACGTATTTCTAATTATTATAAATTAATATATAAAAAATTTTATACGTATTTCTAATTAAATTAAAACAATGCCAAGCCAACTCAATTTTATCTAGATATCTATTTCGAAAAACAATTCGTAATTATTCAGTACTGTTCATCTGTTTTACTTATTAGATTACACTATAATTTGTGGTTTATTATAGAGCCATATAAAATTGAGAACAAGTGTTACAAAGATCTGATCGAGAAAAAAAAATCGTAAATGTATAATTATAATGTCCATCCTTTCTGAAAATTTTGCCTTTCTTTTAAGGTATTAAGCGATGGTCTCGATATAATTAATGTACAAGCATTAAGGTACATACATGTAATTAAAAAAAAAGACATTAAAATAACGTAACTGAAAGGCAAAATTTTTAAAGAATGTCTCTCGAAGCAAAAATCGAAACAAAGGATATTCATGATGTAATAAATGATATCGAACATGAAGTATCAAGTTATGACAGTTATAGCTTTAAATCTATGGAGAAGAGGGTTATTAGAAAATTTGATATTTATATATTACGTATGTTTTAGCTTAATTATAATCATAAACTTATACAGTATTTGCTTGTTTCTAAATTTTTACTGTTTTTTTTGTCTATTTTTTATTAATTTAAAAAAAATCCATTTAATTAGCGATATGTGTTTTAATCTACTTGTTCATGATGATCGATCAAACATATCCAACGTTCTTCCAGCAGGCTTCAATAATGTATATTTAAAATCCACACCAATTGAATTTAATCTTGCCGTATCTGCACATCTTTTTGGTTTTTTCTTATTTGAAATTCTTTCAAGTTTTGTATCAAAACTTTTGGGATTTCAAGTTTGGGTTCCGATCTTAATGGTCTGTTGGGCAGCATTATCTATGTGTCAAGCTGCAGTTACAACCTCGGTTCAATTAGGCATTGTTAGATTTCTTTTAGGTTAGGTTTTATATAATTAATTATAATTTTTACCCGTTATTATTTACGATATAATAAATATTTTCTTTAAAGACTATTAATTAATTTAATTATTATTACAGGTGCAGCAGAAGCCTGCTTGTATAGATTATATAAGTTTATTTTATTCCAGAAGAGAATTGACTACGAGATACGGCGTGTTTCTGGCCCTGGCTATCATCGGTGGCGCTTTTACTAGTCTTCTTGTAAGTTTTTATTCCGATTTTTTTTAACTCTTTTGGAAATGCATTACGTAGTTTATTATAATTTAAAATTCACTAATTTCTAATTTCTAATAATAATAATAATAATAATAATAATAATAATAATAATAATAATAATAATAGTAATAATAACTATTATTCTTTGATTAACTTAATACAGGCGTATGGAATACTTCAAATAAAAGGGGCTACATTAAAAGGTTTTCAAATACTATTTTTACTTGAAGGTGCCCCAACTATTATTATTGCCGCAATTGTTGCTGTATTTTTCACTAGAGGTCCTGGAGATGCACGTTTCCTCAAACCTAAGGAGAGTATTTTCACTATTGAGCGTCTTAAACCAGAGGGAGGCGTTGACGAAAAAAATCATAATGTTATGAAATCTCAAGCTAAAACCGCATTTTTGGATCCCAGAGTTTACGCTTACGTATTTATTGCAACTGCAGGAATTATCCCAAATAATGCACTTAATATTTTCCTTCCAACTTTAGTGAATCAACTTGGTTATGATCCTGTGAATACTCAATTAATGTGTGTGCCAGCATTTGTAATAGCAACTGTTGTAATGCTCACATTTTCTTGGTTAGCAGATAGATATCAAATTAGAGCTTTTCTTATAATGACTGCAGATATCATAGTGTGAGGACGGATTTAGATAGGATTAGATAGAATTAATAAACGAATAATAAAGTAACTACAACGGCAAAGCATAAACTACCTACCCGACCCTAGTAAAAGTGCAAGTATTACCTTGTAAGGCCCCAGTGACCATCGTTAAACAGAAAACCGTCCGCCCTAAGAATAAGTTAAACCCGCAGTTGATCGTTCGTCGTAGTCACGTGACCCGTAACCCGAAGACCGAATCGAAAAGAGTCCCGACCCCGATTCGCGTAGCGAAATCCCGGATGAGGCAAGGAAATAAGAAAAGAAAGGATTTAGTAAAAGAAAGTAGGTTGAAGGAAAGACTCAAGGGAAGAAGAAGAGACCAGTACTTACCTACGGACGATAAATCACTAAAGAACGCAAACCATCCGTTCGTTACACGAAGCCGACCTTCAATTAGCGACAGACTCGCCTATTTAGGGACTCTCATGATCTTCGTGGCTACTGTGAGCGGTAGAAGGGCGGTGTCGGAAGCTCGTTAAAGCAGGTGATCGATGTGGCGCAGTAACGAATAAACGGCTATGTCGATCATCTACCTTAAATGGGTTTACCGGCAGTATACACTGTATTAGCTGTATACTTGGTATCGTATTGATGATTTATATCGGTAGGATAAGGGGGATTAACGGGATCAAAAATATAATTAAAATAATCATTATAAACATTATGATCAGTATAAGTAGCATAAACATTATAAGTGGTATAAGCGGTATATTACTAATAAAATGTATAATGAGCCCTATGTAAATGAAGATATATAATAAAGGCTTCGAGCCCTCCAAGAACAGTTCAGTTAGTGCTTAACAAACATTTCGCCCCATAATAATTCTCTGTTTCAATATATAATACAAACCATACCTACAATCATCATTATACACTCGCCAAATATAACACGCCTCTCCGACTAAGCCTGACTTGTAGGTTACACGGCATACCCGTTTGTCAAGCGACTGACTCGCCGTTTCGCCGGTGTCACTACCGTGATGCCGGGAATTGTGATACCGAATACCGTGACCGATCACGTGAAAAATGCACGAAATGCAATAAGTTACATTTAAGATCGGAAAAGGTATTTCGGATCCAGAGGGGTAGATAAGGAATAATGGGAGGATGTAAGGATAAGTTACACATCCTTAAATAAATAAGACAACGATGTAAAAATTAAATATATCACTGTAAATAACATTTAGCAGACTTTAAGGAATAATAAGTGAAAAGTCGCATTTGTAAGCGACGAATTTAGTATTATAAATAAAGGCCGAAATGGCCCTTGAGAGAAAAACGCTTAGTACGCTTCGTTTGCTTTATTAAACAATAAATCCTAATACCCTACATTGTACTTAATAAACACTAACACTATTACCGTTACAAACCCTGTGAACCCCTAATAACGTCGCTGTTCAACCCTTGACCACGTGACTTACCCTACTTGCATTCGTTGACCCAAAGTAACCGAAAGCCTTAATCTCCCACAAGCCAAATCTAACACCCTCTTTCGAAAAGGTTACTTGTCGTACGTTACACGAGGTTTTGAATTTTGAAGCGACCGAGTCGCAATCTTCCAAACCCAACAATAGCCATAATAGGAAGTGCAGGGATGTTAGCAACATCATCTACTGATCCGAGTTTATTTAAATTACGTTATGTTTTCACAACACTTATGGCATGTGGCGTATTTACTTCGCAACCAATAGTAATAAGTTGGCTTACTGGCAATATTGGTTAGTATCATTTTCTTTTTATATGCCTATAAAAGTTGATAAGATTTTTTTAATTTTATTATGTCTTTAAATTCAAAATTAGTTGGTCAATATAAACGCAATGTAACTATTGCAACATTCTTTACTATTGGTAATATTGGAAGTGTTGTTGGACTTCTAGTATTCACAAAAGATGCACCACCTGCATTTACAACTGGAATGATAATATGCTTGAGCATATCGGTTTTTCAATTTGTTTTATGTGCTTTAATGAAATTTAATTTGGATTATGAAAATAAGAAGCGTGATTTAGCCACATTAGCCAAACATAATGTTCATCTAAGTGAAAGTAAATTAAGAGATACTAAGTTGATTATGGTAAAGGCTGCGAAATTGGTGGAATATGAACCAAAATTCGATGAAATTTTGTGCGATCGACATCCTAATTGGAGATAGATTTCCTAAAAAGTCGAAAAAATTTGTTTTTAATTCTGATAATTAATTTCATTGTTATTTATTTTCATTGTTATTACGTTTTGAGTTCTTATTAAGTTAGCAATTTGTTTACCTAATATGATTATTACTTTAGTAGACTGAATATTTAAACTTAATATTCAATTTTTAATCAATCTTTATGTTTACACGTACATACTGTACGTATATATGTACTAACGTAAATTTAAGATGTGTTACAGTAATCTAAAAATGTTTATGAATCTTCAAATGTTATTTTTATCTGAATTTTAAATCAACAGTAAATCCTTTTCCACTTTGTTGGCCTTTAATGTCTTGGTAATGAATGATTATCATAAAAATATTGCTATAAAAAATGCTTGCATTTGAATACAATAATTAAACCATGTATCCATTTGAATTACATTTGAATTTTACGTTACACATCTCGCAATTTTGTTCGCTATGCAAAATATCAATGCCTTAATAGGGTAAAATGTTTCATTTAAATCTATATTACCTGCTTCTCCCGCAATATGAAACCCATGAATAAGTCATGATGGGGTACATGGGTGTCTAAATTATTTTTTCGGAAAAGCAATTTCGACAAACATTATGGCTTTGCTAGTTTTTTTTTTATATAAATTTCACAAAGTAACTACTTTGCTAAAATCTCACATTTTTATGCAAGCATATTATTCGTATTTTTTTAGATTTTAATAGGAATATATTAGTCTATTGTTAAGCTCATTAATAGTGCTAGTAAGAAACTAATGAATAAATAACTTAGAAATATAATAGTGTTGCGCGGCAAATCGGCGAGTCTGTCGCTAATTCTTCCCAATTCTCGTGTAACCTACGGCGGCTAAGTCGAAATAGGCGTGTTAGATTTGGCTAGTGGTTTAT